ACATTCTATTACTTTTTCATCGACTTGATGCTCAGATTTTGCCATGTGCGAAGCTACTGGGTCGGCGCCTGCTCTTAGTGGCAGATAGCCCGAAAGTGTAAGTCGAGTCTAGCCACATGACTGGTCATAGCCAGATTCTTTTAATCTATCTACCCTGACCCACATGATCTACCCTGTGCATGACCGTCGCCTAGGCCCGGCTCCTGTGCATCTGGGGTATTCGACGAGGCGCTTGCGATGTTGCAATCTCAAAGCATACACCTAGGAAATTGTCTCCAAACATGGCGTTCGGCCGACCTCTAACCAGCAACAGCTCCACGATGCCCAGACCTAGGCATGCCCGAGTCTGCAAACGACACTACACTCCGTGGCCAACGTTCACGCGCCTGACTTCGCCGCCGTCATTCGCAATCTTTGACTGGCGCCGTTTCAAAACAAGTCTGTTCCAATCAGGCAGGTCAAAAAGAAAGGTGTCGGGCTTGCCTTCACGTTGCTTGTCTCGCGGAAGCCTCACAAGACTCTCTGCATTCACCGCATCACAACTATGGGTGTGAAGTGAGTGCTCTGACGTCTAAGAGACTAACACATGAGCACGCGCGCTTGAGGCTTATGCTGCAGGGCAAGATCATAGGGCAGACTCATGCAGTGCGACGCATGGCATTTCTACCCAAGACTACCCCACATTTAGGCTTCGTGGCGAACTACTGTTGACGGCGCAAATCTGGGGTCTTTAAGATTCATGACCGCGGAGCCAATTGCCGGCTTCAACGCTCTGGTCTTGGCACTAGCGTCCGTCACATGCTTCCAAGGTTTGGTCGGTGTTTGCACAGTCACTGGACAGCGCTTCACGGAAATAATATGCGTAGGGCCGTCCCGGTGACCAACGCTGCATCGAGGTTAGTTGCATATCCCCTGAGTCTTCTTACAACTTCTGCTTGTAGCTCACCCATAGCATGCGTTGGGCAGCACGCTGGATCACCATCGTCATCCTCTATTCATGTTTAGATGGCCACTGAAGCTTCTAGATGTAGAGTAGATCACACTGCTCACGAGAATAGAATAAGTTTTATTCGACTTACCAAACAACAAAAAACACCCCTCGGAGATTGGGCTTGAAAAGGAAGGGCGCGTACCTACACCCTCCCTTTCCCCAGACTATGTTACTCAAGCTAAGACATCTCGAAGCCGGGACCGAAGTAAGCTATGTAACCCTTCAAATGGCAACGGGGGTAGCCGCCTAGTGAGTTAGTCTTGGACAAGGCCTTATGACCTCCTCAGTGGTAGACGGTGAGTATCTCATCACCGGATGTTGCTAGCTAGCCAGTCGGCACGCTTCATGGGGAGCAGATCTCCAAATGATCGCGTGGGTGTATGGTTCTTTCTCCTATCACGCACTGCCACGACGTGTAGCAGTGAACAAACGGGGAGATTAAATAGGCATCATGGTCTCCCTCTGAGACTTCTTCTCGCTACTACAGTCTACACTCCTTTGTACTCCTCCTCCTTGTGTTCTCACTGAACATACCATTATCTATTGGCATATACTCACGGCTATGCATTTGTCCTTCTTGCTCGCCTGCCTCAGTGCAGTGGGCATTCAGGGTGCTGCTATCGGTAAGCGAAGACCGTTTCCCCTGAATATTCGCGTTACTGACACAATATAGCACGCTTCCCCCGACAGATAGTAGTGAATGATACGGAGCCCACCTCCAACATCAGCAGCATCCAGGGAGTTGCTGCTATCACGGATGGTTACTGGCTGAACGACCTCTCCGGTAACGGAAGGGCTGCCTTCAACGCCAACGGCGCTTACAAGGTCTTCCGCAACGTCAAGGAGTACGGAGCAAAGGGTAAGCTACTTTGCTTTTTGTGTTTCAGTACAAGTCTAACATCCTCATAGGTGACGGTGTTACCGATGATTCCGATGCAATCAACCGTGCCATTGCCGACGGCAACCGTTGCGGTCCCGGCGTGTGCGACTCGGCCACTGATTCCCCGGCCGTTGTCTACATTCCTTCTGGAACTTACCTCATTGGCAAGCCCATCATCTTCTATTACATGACTCAGCTCATCGGCAACCCCCGAGGTCTTCCTGTTTTGAAGGCTGCTCCAACTCTCCAGGCTATTGCTCTCATCGATGCCAGTCCTTACCAGAACAACGGTGCACCCGGCTGGACATCAACCAACATCTTCCTGAGGCAGATCCGCAACTTGATCATCGATGGCACAGCTGTTGCACCAACCAGCGGCTTCCAGGGTATCCACTGGCCCGCTTCGCAAGCCACGACCATCCAGAATGTCAAGATTCGCATGACACAGGCATCGAACTCAGTCCACGCCGGTATCTTCGTCGAGAACGGATCTGGTGGCCACATGGCTGACCTCGACATCGAGGGTGGCTTGTACGGCATGAACATTGGAAACCAGCAATTCACCATGCGCAACGTCAAGATCTCCAAGGCTGTTACTGGTATCTCGCAGATCTGGGATTGGGGCTGGTTGTACGCTGGTCTTACTATCAGTGACTGCGGCACTGCTTTCTCTATGAGCAACGGTGGCTCGGCTAATAAGCTTGAGGTCGGCTCGGTTGTTATCATCGACTCTGAGATCACCAACTGCCAGAAGTTTGTCGATATGGCATGGACTCGTAACAGCGTTCCTACTGGTGCCGGACAACTCATGTTGGAGAACATCAAGCTCAACAATGTACCCAACGCTGTTGTTGGTAACGGAGCCACTGTTCTTCAGGGTGGTACCTTCACTATCCAAGCTTGGGGTCAGGGAAACAAGTACGCTCCCAATGCCAACGGCCCGGAGAAGTTCCAAGGAACCTTCACCCCTGTTGCTCGTCCAGGAGGCCTTTTGGACGGCAACAAGTACTACGCCAAGTCGAAGCCACAATACGAGAACCTCAACTCTGGCGACTTCATCAGTGCTCGCGGCAGTGGAGCCACAGGTGACGGTCGCACCGACGATACCCAGGCTGTTCAGAATGCCATCAACAGGGCAGTTTCTTCAAACAAGGTACGTTCCCTTAATCTTGTCATCTCCTATCGCCAGACTAATCACATCCCAACAGGTCCTCTTCTTCGAGCACGGTGTCTACAGAGTAACCAACACAATCTACGTCCCCCCCGGCTCCCGCATGGTCGGCGAAACCTTCCCCTCAATCATGGGCTCCGGCTCCGTCTTCTCCAACAAAGACTCCCCGGTCCCCATTATGCAGATCGGCAAGCCTGGCGAAAGCGGCCGCATCGAATGGTCCGACATGATCGTGCAAACCCAAGGCGCCACCCCAGGAGCCATCGTAATTCAATACAACCTCAACACCTCACGCGGCTCCGGCCTCTGGGACGTGCACACGCGCATCGGCGGCGCAAAAGGCACAAACCTGCAAGTCGCGCAGTGCCCGTCCACAGTCGGCAGCGTAAAACCCGAATGCATGGCCGCCCACACAAACGTACACGTAACCAAGGGCGCCAACGGCGCGTACTTCGAGAACAACTGGTTCTGGACAGCCGACCACGACATGGACGACGCGCGAAGCACGCAAATCACCATCCTGACGGGCCGCGGCCTGCACGTCGAAGCCTCAAACGTGTGGCTCTGGGCCAACGGCGTCGAACACCACGCAAACTACCAGTACCAATTCAACGGCGCGTCTAATATCTTCGCCGGCTTCATCCAAACAGAAACACCATACTACATGCCCACGCCCGACGCCTCCAACCAACCCTACGGCACGTCCGCTGCCTACTCCGATCCCGTATACCCATCCGGCGCCTCCGCCTACGGTCTGCGCGTGCTAAACTCCAAGAACGTGCTTGTGTACGGTGGGGGTTTGTATTCTTTCTTCCGCAATTACAGCACCAGTTGTTCGAGCGCGGATGCGAGTGGTGGGGCGCGGATATGCCAGAATAGGATTTTTAGTATTGAGGGGGATAGCAGTGTGCAGGCTTTTGCGCTTAGTGAGGTGGGCAGCGAGTGGATGGTTACGGTGGATGGGGTGGATAAGGCGAGTTGGAGGGATAATTTGAGTGTTTATTCGAATACTATTGGGTGGCTTGGGTATAGGGTTTAGGGTTGAAGAGGAAAGTTGGTAGGGGGTTTGGGGTTGAAAGGAAGAGGATTGTATATATGGGATGGAGGGCGGTGTTTGGTGTTTTCGGGGGGGTTGTTTGGACGGCTGGTTGACCACGGTCGCTATCTTTCTGTTCGGATAGGATGGAATGGAGTCTTGGGTTGTATGCTACTGTTGTAGTATATTCTTTCTTACTGAATGCAAAGGATCAAAACTTATCGGTTCTTCGTCTCTCTCTCTCTACTCACTAATGGTCTATGTGGCACCCCACATTTAGTAATCGTCGTTCTTCGAATTGGAATCCGTGATCCGAACCTCACTCGCTTCGTTTAGCTGATCAACATCGACGTCACCTGCGCATCAGGGTCAACCTTCCACACGTGCGACATCGGCGACCACTGCATGTATTGTACAACGGGGTAGTCAGGGGGTTACTCGTATATGCAGTGCTTGTAAACATTGGTATGTAAAAGACACCAGGTAATTCACAAGTAACCGAAGTTTACATTGCATCCGTACTAACCCTCATGCGAGGCTAGCACACACAACCTCCAACCGACCCATTCGGACTGCCACCATACAAAGTGGAATGTGGAGTCAATCCATCGACACTCAAACACGTAATTACTCCCTATCAATGAGCAGCAATACCGAAAGTCGTCACCACCCAATGCATGTACATGTCTTTATGCAAGCAGCTTTTTTTCGATAAGAATTAGGGAATGGATAAGAAAAATAGGAAATGGAATATGGGTAGACATATCCAGACGCCGTGATGAGGATATGGGAATCGAAAAATGTGGATCTCATGTCCGGAGCGGGACTCGCTGAACGCCATACCAAAACGCAAAGACACAACAGAATAAATGAAGTCGCGTGACACAACAAGAGTTTGCGTCGGACAGGGGGAGTATGATCATCACTGCATGCGTTTTCGCTTACGCACGTCATCTGCTTCATCCTCCTCACTGCGTTCCGCAGTTTCCGCGGGGTTGAGGAGCGAGTGGACATTGGACGCCATACTAGATCGTCGAGTAGGTGGTCCAGTGTCGAGGCCTTTGAAAGGGTATCTAGCTCCCGGTAGTGTCCAGCCAGCATCCGGATTTAATGTCGACGGCATATTCTCATTTGGCGGTGGAGGAGAGCCGTGTCTTGACTGTGCTTGCCGTGGACCGCGGGGTAATTGATATGATTCCAATGCATCACGGAGCTGCTGGTCACCACCTCCGATAGGTGGATGGCGCGGTGACGAGGGCCATTGTGTGGAGTTGTAACCAGAAGCGTAGGGCGAATTGACAGCAGGGTTGGGTGGCTGCGGTTGCCAACCGTGTAAGCGGATATCTGCCGAGGTGTGCCGCCTATATAGATTATACGGAGGGGACAAAGTGCTTGGCAAGTTGCTCCCCAGGTTTGCACCTCCCGGCTGCTGGACTTGTGGTGGAGGAGGTGGGGGTGGCTGATGGGAAACTGGGGTTCTGGCTGAAGATGGAGAGTAATTACCCGTGCCTATTGAACCGTAACGTCGCGGAGAAATTGCAAGATGGGCCGGGATCGGAGCCTTGTATGGAGCTTGCCGTGAAACGTTCGCCAAGGATCCTCTCCGCGACTCTGTTAGATTGTCTTGTGGCATTTGCCGGGGTGAAAGGGGTGGACCGTTGCTGCTGTCTACTTGCATGAAGTAGGATTGGCGTGCGGAGAGAGGTGCATCTTCTGGTGGCTCCAATGCTCGGAGCATGTCTGTTTGTCGAGCAATTTCACGCTGCATCATAGCGACTGGAAAAGTCAGTGTGTGTCGCGCAGACAAGGTTTGAGCATTGACGCGTACCATCCCTATGGATAGGGTTTTCCGGGTCCGGCACCATTTGCATGATGAGGTTTGCAAGGTCCTGATTCCACTGTATAATCTATTAGCTGTTGTGTATTGAAGTCTAGACAATCGACTTACTTGGTGGCATTTCATCATGCCCTCGGCTAGCACCGAACTCCTTTGAGTGAGGTATGCGCATGTGTCTTCTGATCGCTGCATGCGCGCATGCATGTCATGGAGGTTATATTCGAGACTCTGGAGACGTGACTCGACAGGGTCCGGCATTGGGTCGACCGCCTGCCCAGCTGGTGGGCCAAGGGGCATTTTGGGCGCGGGGAAGGACTCGCGATGGACGAGGGCATGTCTAGAAGCACGTCGCTTGATTTCGCGCAGACCGACCAGATCGCCTCGCTTGAAGTTTCCGTTGCCGTGCTTGAACTCCCATAGCGGGGTGTCTGGCGATCCAGTGTGGAAAACGTCGCTCACTGCGGCAGTACAGTCAGCATGTGATTATGGCATGGCGGAAAGAAATTGGACACGTACCCTTGTGGAAGCCGTACATGTTCAGCTGGCGCACAAATGAGGAAATGTTGGTGTGCTTGAAGTAGGACCTGGGATTTGTTAGTCAGAAAGCCTGAAGCGGCCGTGGCTTCAGGTGTACGTACGAAAGGACTTTGGAGAACTCGCTAGAGGGGGACATGACGAAACTCTCGTTAGTGCTCGCCCAGGAGATGAGGTGCTGAATGCTCTGGTCTTCGAGCATGCTGTGTCGTGTTAGTGTCGGATCGCGTGCGTACTGTTGCGGCACACGTACTTGTATAGCTTGTGTATGAAGGCCGTCTGGACGACCTTGGGCTGTTGTGCAGCTGCGGCAGCGCCCACTGCAGGCGCCGTGTTGCCATTGGGAGGCGAAGTGTTTTCCGAATCGCCGTTTCCTTCTCTTTGCGACGGCAGCTGGAACGAGACCGATTGGGTGCGCTCGTTGGGCGGGCCCATGTTCGACGACGAGGGCGTGATGTCCATGGGGTCCCGGGACGCCGCAAGCCTCGGGCTGGACGAGGGCAGGATGGGAATCGACTTGTGCAGGTTGGGATGGTGAGGGTCGCCCGAAAAGGGACTGCGGCGGGCCTCTGCGACAGAAGCCATGTGGGCGATGTGGAGAGCAGGCGTGGTGTTGAGATGTCAGGCCTGCTGCGTGCGTGGAGACGGGCGCACGGGGGTCGTGCAGGGAAAGGGAATTGAGCAGCGTGCGATGGGCGCAGAGATTCAGAAGTGTCTCGAAAAATGCTTGAGGCCGGGTGGATGCAGGGTCCCGACTTGCGGTGGCAGCGAACGTGGGCGGGCGGAGAAGATGCGGAGGAGCATGCGATATGTGTGGCCGACGTCGCCGCAGAAGCTTCGAATCGGCGGGCGAGCGTCTTGGAAGCTTCCTAGGCTTGGGGATTTCTTCTAGCGCCTGCGCGAGCCGTAGAAATATGGTTCCAGAAAATGTCGGCGTGGCAGACGGTGCCAGTGGTCCTTTGTCGGATCGGGAGCGGCCGTCGCTGAGGAATAGGAGCTCGCGCAGTCCGAGGGGCAGGTCCGAGCGCTGACGACGACGACAATTCCAGATGCTCCGGGATACTGTGTTTGAGCGTGCGAGGCTTGGCGGAGGGAGGAGAAGACAGGTTCGTGGGAACTTGCAGACTGCGAGGCGCGGCGAGATATGCCGGCGTGTCGCAACACTGGCTACGGACGGAAAGGAGGTCCAGGCACGGGGCGTCGAGGGCGGAACGGTAGCGCTACCGCTGAGAATACTATGGGGGATCGCGATGTGGGAGCGTGCTGCGGGAGCATCTGAAGGCCTTTGCGCACCACCAGCCGAGCCAAGTGTCATCCAACGCTGAGGGGACACATGGTCATCTTCATTTATCTACCTATCCATCACCGCCCTCAGCACTGTGTAGCTCTAGGTACCCCAACGCCCGCTGACAGACCATGGCCCGCCGTCCGGGTTTGCTGCCATGGTAGGGCAATGGCATGCAGCTCACGGCAAAGACGTCGCTCCTTGTCGACGTTGCATGTGCCCGCGACCCCTGCCCTCGGCCAGCTGCAGGTCGAGACACTGAAACATTGCTCGACCATAATAACCCACCGCTAATATCACTATAACGCGAACTGTTTCTGCTGCGGGGTCAGCATATAATGCGCCTCATATGCCTATGCTCCTCCCGAGTGCCCGTGATGCGGCTGCGGATGCGGAAGGCAGTGGCACAGACTAGAATACCGAACCTTCGCCAGAGTTGCCTCAAATGCTGCCGGACAGTTGAAGCCGACTGACTCCCTTGCCCATGGTCAAACACTGCTAGTACGACTCGCGAGCATCGACGCCATCCTCGGCTTTCACGCGTGGTGTAAGCCAGGGGAGGGTCCAGGGTCTGCAGGCAGCCTTCACGCACAGACCTCCTTGGATAAACGTCAACCACCAACCTTCCTTCGAGTCAGCCTCGACCGACTTTCCCCAGCCCAACCCAGGTGCCGTCAACGCAGAACGTTAGCTTTACCCCGACGCTACCACCTGCCGTCACCGCACCAGTCTATCACCGACCGCTTGGGTGGCGAGTCGCTGTCCTATCGATAGCCCTGCCTTTAATCGGCAGAAAAAGCAGCATGACTACCGGCTTCCTCGATGCGTTTCGACGCATGCACATACATGAAAGAGAACAGGCACTCAAGGCTTTAACATCAGAACTATCACCCTATGAGTGGAGGACACTCCACGCCACGACAAGCAGTCGTACCTTCCAATTCGACGTCATCGGCAATCTACCCGTTGAGCTAGTGGCCCAGGTGTTTTCGCATTTAGACGTTACTGCTCCCTACCGCTTGCAAAGTGTCTCAAGACGATGGAAACACACTCTTCAGAGCTTACACGTTATCAAAGCAAGCCTCAACAGTTGGTACCAAGGTACTGTAAATTTCCAAGATGCCGACCACGCTCTGTGTCAGAAGAAAGCCCGCAAGATAAATGCCTTTCGTACTGGCAAGCCGCGTAAAGTCTACAAGATAGCACCCAAGGACAGTATAGATGATATCTATCTAGCAGGAAACAGTCTCATCTGGCAAAGCCTAACCTTCACCCCGCAAAACCAATCGCGAAATGTTTGCGTCCTCGATCTAGCTACATGGGATCTTCGCTTCCTGGGTGGCGAAGGCCGTGAACGAATTATCGACGTCTATGTATCTAGTGAGATTGTGGCGCTAACAACCTGGGCGAACATCTGCTATGTTCACGAATTACATGGCAAACGCGGTTGCAAGAAGTTCAGAGTACCAAACAACAATTATTTCGCCAGCGTTGCCTGTCGAGAGCGCACTGTCGCATGTTATCATATCGACTCCGGTTTTGCATCGGTGTATATCTGGGAATACGACTCCCAGCGTGGAAGATCCTTCGATATTAAATTCGAACCCGGTAACATGTTCTGGGGGACAGATGTCGTGTAAGTAATCTCTGGGGTTGCTGAGCGGTGCTCGTATCCTTTGAAGCAAAGGAATTCACCAACACTGGGATACTCTATGCATTCTTTGCACGTAAAGCTAATCAGAGTCTAGCGAGAACGAATCACTTGGCATTGCTCCTATCATACAGCCCGCGACCCAGACAATCATCTTATTCGCCAATGCCGCACGTAACAATGACGTTCCTTTCCACCAACAGTTCTTCGCGTTCGGTCGCTACACATACAGCGGGGAGTGTCTCAGCACACACCACGCAAACCTCCACGGGGTAACTTCTCTCTCGTATTTTTCCCGTGATCCAAACACCTTTGTCCCAGTCGACGACAAGCAGAACATACTGTCGATAGTCATGCGAGACACCAACGGCAAGTCATCCTTCCTAGTGCGATTCAACGAAGAAGAAACGGACATGAGTGTATGGGAGGGTTCCCGGCTATATGAACACCCCGAATTCTCTGATACCAACGGTGCCATGGCGTGGTGGAAGGACACATGCTATGCCGCATTCTGGGACGGGGACGTCGAAGGCGAAATGCGTGACACGATTGCGCTTATGGACCGGAAAGCCGACAAACATGATATGAATGCGGTTGAGGACGCCAGTAACGGCAGAGCCTACAAGCCCATCGTGTCTGAATCAACGGACAACGAGTCACTCGATCTCGATATCAACGCTCCCGTTGTTATGAACGAAAACTATGTTATCAGAAACGCGGGGAATAGATTCTACATACTCTGTTTTGACGATGACGACAAGGACAAGTGGCCGAAGGAGAGCGGAACGTTCTTTGATATAGGAGAGCTTGGGGTGTTGAAAGGTTTGGATACTTGGTTCGATCAACCACATTACAAGGGGTGGCTACAGTCTCGGCCATATGCCCGTGTAAAGGAGATCTGGGGGCCGGAGCTGGAACGACGGAGGCAGGAGCTTTCATTATCTGCAGAAAGTGACTAGTCATTGAGATATAGCAGTGTATGTGTAGCAAACCTTGGAAATGCGATAGGGATTCTAGCGACCCTAGTAACGCTCCATACAATAGGACGCTGACCAACTCCGAATTCTCTACTGCACCCAGATTACCCTGCTCCATATGTCATACCTCGCACGCCATAGCATCCAAAACCTCTACTACAATCAACTCTTCACCAATCAGTCGACCATGACCGATAACGAATCTGAACTGTGAGATGGTAAATTCGTTAGATCAGCACTGCCATCTATGCAAAGTCATTCGCTCATTCAATACATCTATCTTGCTATCCAATCCCATTCAAACTCCAGTATATCCCATCCGTCCGTTAAATGCTACCGATCGAATGCCGTAAATGTCACGCATACTTTTCTCTTGCATCGTCATCATCTCCCTTCTATCCTTCCTCGATGGAGAAATCCTATTGCTTGCCCTCCTGCTCCCTGGAAAGACGGTCGTGCTCGTCAATGTCACTAAATCACGGTTAGCACTTATCACAAAAACATACAGAAACGCAGGTAGAGAGTAAGAAAAAAGACATACGTAGCCTCCCAAGGATAACAAATCCAAACATCCCCCACCGTCCTCGCCGCACTATACCTCCCCTTGAGAATCTCCTGCGGCAACGCCCCCTTCTTCGCCTTATCCTTGTTGTGCAGCACAAAAATACTGAAATTCGTCTTCTCGCCCTCCCTTCCCAGTTTCTTCACCGCAGCCTCAACATCCTTCTCCAACTCCCTGACCGCGTATTCCAGCGTCGTGCGCGTGTCGTCGACCTCATCGACGATGAGCACGTTCTTGCCGATCAGATTCGCCATCTCGAGAGAAGACAGGTCGAGCCATTGTGTGCGGGTTACTTTTGTTCCCGGGGTCTCGACGTCTTTGTCTGTGGTTGTGGGCAGGGTTTCGTAGAGGGAGAGGCCGATGGCTTGGATGGGGATGTTGGGGCTGTTTGAGCGCTTGAGGAAGGATCTTTCAAACAAGTTTATTAGTTCTTGTTGTCTGGTTTGGTATGTACGGTGTACGTGTGGGGTTTGGGGATATAATACCGGAGGATGCGCGCGGGGACGTAGCCTCCGCCGCCGATGGCGATCATGAGGTTGGGCTTGAAGTCATTGAGGATTTGGTCCGCGGCTTCTTGGCACAGCTTGTGCACCTGTGGGGAGGGGGGTTGTTAGCTGTGGTCTTTGTGCTTTGTTTGCTGCTTCGTGTTGCGCAAGGGTTCGATTGTCGTGGTCGCATGGATACGATACGAACTGAGTCTCTAGCATCGCTTTCTGCAACATCTGCATGGCGCGACACCAGCCTCGCGTCGTATACATCGTGGTGACACAAAGACACCTCACGCGCGTGCGTGCGCGGGGTGTCTGATCGCATGTGTAACAAAGGACCTCCAAAGAACGTACCTGGTTGTACGTGACGTAAACCTTCTCGACCATGTTCGCGGTAGTATTCTGAATAATATCTCCAAGTGTAAAGAGCGAAATCAAAGTTGAACGGAGGAGTGGAATTGTTTTTGCAAAAAAAAGTCTGTCCGCCCGCGGGAGAGTCAAGAAATGGTTACCTACTTAGGTAGGCAAGGCTAGAGCGGCGTACGCCGAAAATCTATGGTGGGGGATTGGTGCCCCGCAATCTGGGACTGGACCAATCAAGTGAAACGTGGTTGTGATTCACATGCGCGCCTTGGTTCGTGGACTCTTCAGCAGCAGGTCTTCATTCACAGCAAGCACATGCAGCAAGGTCGAAGTATTTCTAAGCAGGACGAACAGGGTATATTGATTGACTGATGAGGGTCATAACATCGTAACCATTACCCAACAAAAAGCACGTCCATCTGATGCGATGCTATGCTTGCGACAAGCACTCCCATCTCCATCCCTTCTAGCTCTCTACAATCCTTCTTTCAAGTTGAAAAGCTTCCGCCCGCAAAAAGGGTATATCGTGATTATTATACAAGAAGGTAAAGCAAAGTAACCCAGATAGACCACCTTCTCTTTTTTGGTAAAACGCCGGACGATGAGGGAGATAAAACGCTGCAAACGTATATGTAAGTGAGAAAAGCACGGCCGAGAAACGTTGGACTCGTGCTGAACGTTCAGTTGGTTGACTGATTCTTTGTTGATGGTGTGGGTGGAGAGAAGTCTGGCTTCTTCACTTGATGCCCATTTGGCGGAACTTGCGGGATGCGCGACGGCGCAGGCGGTTCATGCCCATGGCCTTCCTGAGGCTGTCCCGATCGTCATCTTCATCTTCTTCTTGTGGTACGGTGAGCATTCGTCGACCGTTTGTGGTTTTGACCGAAGTCTGGTGCGCCAGAATGTTCTGTTCACGCCAGAACATGCGCTTTTGGTCAATGACGTTCTGTGACAGGTTACCGAACCCCTTCTTCACGAACGCCAGGTCGTGCAGGATGTTAGGGTCGAGGCAACGCCTGGGCAGTGTCTGGACTGCCATGAAGATTTCGCCATCGCCAGGACGGTACTTTTTGATTTCTGGTTCACCCAGCTTGAAGATGGCAAGGGCGTAGCGGTAAAGGGCACGGGGTCCTTCGTAGAGGAAGGCGTCCCAAACGCGGAGTACCGTTTCAATTGGCAGCACACCAACGAAGATGCTCATGAACCAGGAAGTGCATGAAAGAGCGACTGTAGGCTGGCGTTGGAACTTGGAGTTGGGGTGAGCGTTGGAGCCGGCGCCGCTGTTGATGAGATCGGTGTCGTTAATTGATGCCCATACCTTTGGCAGGTAGTCCTTGATCAGCATCATCAGGACATTGACCTCGGTGTTTGCCAAGCTGCGAGCGTGAGCACCAGGCAGATGATTTTGCGTGATGATTGTGAGAAGGATGAAGACCTTCTCCTTGTCCTGCTTCAGGAACAATAGAAGAAGGCCGGCAATGAAGTTGAGCGACTGGCAGTAACCAATATTGGGGTTGTTCAGGGCGAAGCAAGATAGGACTTCGCGCAGGTCCTGGATCAACACGGGTTCGTCGTCAGACTCGCCGTCCAGTAGATCAGTCGCTGCTTCCGGACGAAAATGGATGTTGTCGGGGAATGTCCTGTCGAGATCGCGCTCAATGGCATCTTTGTCGTCTTTGTTGAGCTCATCACGGTTGACGCGAGCTACCAGAGACTTGTACAGGCCGACATTTTCCTTTCGCGCAAGCACGTGCTGACCGCCAGAATAGTACCACCACATGGCACCTCTCCACTCAGGAGGGTAGCCCTTGCGAGCATAGCGCTTGACCTTCTCACACATCTCAGGGAACCTGGTAGGCTCATTCGTTGACAGACCTTGCTTGGCCATCAATGAAATCCATTTGCCTCTCCGGCGGGAGATGTGGTCTTCGTATTTAGAAGCCCATGCGTTGTACTCCTGCACGTTGATCTTGTCGGAAGCCTTCTTGAATCCATAGCGATCTCTCTCGGTAGGGGCAGCCGTCTTTCGCAGGCCAGGTATCACGGTGGGAATTTGGCTGGGAGGTGCCAATGTAGGGCCTCTCGGGGACTCGGGCTTGCTCTTGGCTGTCGTGAGCTGAGACATCATGCCAAGATCGAACAGTGCGCTCTTTCTGTCGAAGACACTCGTGGAAGCGCGACGGGGAATAGCCTCGTCTTCGTCCAGCTCAGGGAGCGGCTCAGATCTTTGCATAGGCGGAGATTGAGGAACATGAGAACTGGCAAGAGATTCACTGGAAAAGGTGCGAGGAACACTTGGTCTCTTGCTGTGTCGCTTGGAGTAAGCTTCGATGTTGGCCCAATCCTGGCGCGACATTCGCGATCGACTTGGGGGTAATTGTGGAAGATTGGAAATATCACGACGGATATGGTCTAGCTGTGAGCGGCTACCCATCGATCTACTCGAGCGGTGGCCCTTGGCTTCCGTGGTTCTGAGAGCAAGAGCTTGCAGTGTGACAGACACACGCCTCGGTGCTTCTTCACTTGCTCGTTTCACTGTGCTCGATCGCTTCTTTCTGGACTGTTGCGTTGCGGCCTCGATTGTTCGTGGGGTGTATGCAGCTTGGAATGGGCTGACCTGTACCGAGGGCAGTAGTTCGATTCGCAGCGCCTTTCGCTCTGTAGGATCGAGGTTGTATACTTCGTCCACATCCGAGCCGGAAGGAGGACGGATTGTCAATAGCTCCTTGGAATCCGCGTTGCGTCCAAGTTTACTGTGCGTCGAAAGGCGTGTCCGGTCATCCCATTGCTTGAGGCTTTCGTTCGATTGAAAGGAGTCTAGGGAATCGAAATCGCGAGAGGGCGTTTGCGACAGCTCGGGGAGTTCCGCGTCAAGACCTGCTGGCGAGGGGCTGTGCATGTCTCGTTCATCCTGCTCCATGATAGGACTACGCTCCTCATCTTCCTCATCGTAGTAGTATGAATCTAACACATCGCCAACAGCGTCTAGATTCTCATCCTCCTCGGCGATTTCCGAAGTCAGTATTGTTTCCGGGGAACCGTCGCGTTCCCGAAGGCGTTCCAGACGATCTCTCGATGGATCCCGGGAATAGACGCTGTTGTGTCGATCACTGGCGATGGAGCTCCGTGCGGTGACGATACTGCTTCTTTCCGTGCCACTAGTTTCGAGTACACTGGAAGACGCATTGGTCCAACCGGATCTGAAACTGGCCCGTGGTTCCTCACCACGAAACGGTCGAGGTGGGGGAGGGTAATAGTCAGTGTGAGACCAGTTCGGAACACCTCTATTCGGCTTGTAGGTGCCAGATAGATTGGAGCGTTCGTTGCCTCGGTATTGGGCGTAGTCGGGGATCGAGGTCACGGATCTCAGAGGCGGTGTTGGATGGAAATTTTGCGAAGAGTTGGTCATTCCACGGGGCCTGAGAGGGGAGCTGGGTGAGCCAGACAGGTCTTCGTTGGAAGAGTCCCATGATGGCCCGGTCGAATTGACGGGATTGCTAGCGAGCGGGTTGAAAATAGCGCGGAGGTCAGGCGAGCGAGGGCCGCTGTCCTGGCGGGCCATGGCAGGA